TTATTTTATAATTATTTTTTATTTTTCTTTCGATAAAATAATAAATCAAATACCAGTAAAATGATTAAAATTAGTTTATATTTGAAATTATCGAATGAATGATGTTTAATTTAAATTAAGAATAGAAACATGAAACTATATCAAGTGTAATGTTAATACAAAGGAAAATAAGTGTAATAGGAAAACAAAAGAAAGAGGAATTAAATGAAAATAATAATAAATAATAGGATAAATGAGTATTTAAGCATAGAATATGAAAGGTTTATATTTTTATTATTTTCTCATTATCAAAACAATGTAGTGAATTTGAACAGTATAAATACATCATAGATACTGTTGATAGTACATTTGAATGTATTGAATCTATTCAAACAACAGAAGATGAAAATAACGCTATTATTAATGATTTAAAATACTATTTAGAATCATATGTATTTAAAGACATATTAAAGAATCCACCACAACCATCATTTTCAAATAATTATTATGAGAAAGTAGATATTGATTCAAAATTAGATAAAATAAATACAAAAACTACAAGTCTGTATGAATTTTATTCAGAAATTAATAATCTTATTATTTCAACAAGAGATTCTCACTTAGGTTTCAGCATAAAAAATAAAAATGATTTTAGTATCAATAAAAATAGTGAATTAACACTTTTCTATTATTTCCTTCCATTTACAATAAATATTGATAATGATAAGAAAATGTATTTAATTCCAAGGTATTACTTCAAATTTAGATATGTGAATCCACCAGATGAAATTATAAAGAATATGAATGTACCAGTTAAAACAATAAATGGAGAAGATCCATTTAATATTATTCGTGAATTTGGAAAGAAATATTCAGCATTAAAATATCCACATGCACAATTTACAGAAGCAAAAGATGAATTTGTTGAAGGTGATTTAAGTTATTTACCATTGACAAAAGAATATTTAAATACACAAATAAGTATTACATGGGAAAATGGAGAAAGTGTGAGTGTTAATTATAAAATATATAGAGAAACAGCAAGTGTATCAAATAGCAATGAAAAACTAAAACAAGGAATTAGAAAACCATTAACTGAAGAAGAAACAAAAGATATAATCAATACAAAGAAAGCACTCGATGAAAATGATAGAATTACAAGAAAATTTACATCAAAAGATAATAATATTCATTGTACACTTTCTGTGAATGGTGTAAACACATTAGTAGTTCGTTCTTTTGATACAGAAGTCAAAGAGTCATATGAAGAAACAATTTTAAATTGTATTGATTTGTTTGATTCTAATAATTATCCTATTCAAGTCATATTCCCAAAGAATGGAGGAGGATCTGGTAATTATTCACAATGGATAGAAAAGATATTATCACCATATGATGATGTTAATTATATAGTTTCATTGAGAGAATCAGACTACACAAAGCATGTGTTAAAAACAGGATTTGC